CGCGGCGAGCACCTCTTCGTGGCCCGCTGGCCTTCAAGGGGGGGAGTGGGGCCGCGGCGAGCGCCTCTTCGCCAGCCGCCAGCCTTCAAGGGGGGAGTCGGGCCGCGGTAAGCGCCTCTTGGCTGCCCGCCAGCCTTCCACTGATTTCCTCCAAGCCTGGCTAGTCGCGCAGAGGCAGAGCTACAGCCTTTGTGTTCTGAGGTGGGACTTAGGACTCGGCCAATGGAAGCTGGGGAAGCTTCTGACGGACAGTTCCAGCCTCCAAACACTGTTGGTGCGCATTGGAACGTTGGGCCCCACTATTGCTTTATATATAAGGGAGAGATTACCAATGGTACCGTACCACTGGCTGTGGAGCTAATCCCAGTGGACATCAGCAGTGGAAGTCATGCCTGCTGATTCCACCCTTCTGGCACAGACGGGGACACTACAATAAGTAAAACGGAACCACTGCCCTGATTCTGGGCCACAGGAATGACCTTAGGAGTGCTCATGGAAAGGACATGCGGCCCACATATGAGGCGGGAAGTGCCTGGCTTTGGAGAGCCAAGTGCAGACTCGGCCCTTGCAGCAGGCTCTCCAAGAAGACAGGCATCAATATTTGCACAGCTTCCCCTCATCTTGCAGCTTGTTGCAAGTACTCGCAAAGGGAGAATCCATTTTTAAAAGACTGAGCCCTAGAAACGCAGCTGCCGCAGGGAGAAACAGGGCAGCTTTTCCTACGGCAGCTTTTGTTGTTTTTCCCCTCCATCGCTGAAGAATTGCTGTGCTGTAGCATTACTGAACAACAGACCTCTGGTGCTTTGTTACAGACCAGCTCTCTTTCACACACAAGCAGCAGCATTAAAAAAAATAAAAATAAACGGCGGTGTGGCACATTTCTACATATAACTTAAAAACAGAAGGTGTAATAAGAACAGCTCGTCCCTTCTACCGAGGCGTTTGCCTACAAGAAGAGGAAACAAGTTCACTGCAGTTTCCTCATTCTGCTGTCAAAGCACCTCGTAACCAAAAGTGGCATTCTTAAGCAATGCTCTTTAGGGACAATTTTGCGAAATAATTAAACCGTTGCGAAAACAACCTGACCAAGATGCAAAGCCCCACACAAACAGGACCAGAGGCTTTGGAAAGGGTTCGCCGTGTAACCCTAAGCACCCTCCGAAGTCTTGGAAGGGCACAGCTCAGCGACTGTTGCAGCTTTCTAGTAGCCATTCCTTAAAATGTATTCCAAAGACGAGTCAGACTGCCAAGATGCATCAATTACTTGATAATTTTCCAAAACTGCATTTAAAAATTAATTTTCTAAATCTGTATTTCAGTTCAAATGTTAAGAGGCAAGCAGATAGTTACCTGTCTTTCAGCATATAATATAAAAGCACGCCTTAGTCATTTAAACTTCTGGGACTTCCCGAGAAACACTCAGGCGGCGTTCCCCTTGCCCTCCTCTCTCCCTTAGACAGTTAAATGCAAATCGTGTCTAGCAGCCAGGCAGCCTCCCAAGATCCACCACTGCTGCCGCTGCTGCTGCCTACTCGGCTTCTGCGCCACCTACTGCTGCAAATCTGAGCAGAGGAAGAGGAGCTCATGCGAGGCGTAGAGCACTCCTGTTCTCCCAGCCAGAGCCGCACAAAGGGGCTTTTCTAAGAGGAAATCACCGCACAAAGCCAAAGACGAGCCAGGGAAGAAAGCTGCCTCACCGACAAGGGAGAACAAACCGGCGTGAAATGGAATGTAACAGGAAAAGCAACGACTCGGAAGGCATCGATCAAGGCAAGAACTGTAAAATGTCTCCAGTGACTCTCAACGTTGGTGGCTATCTGTATGTCACACAAAAGCAAACACTCACCAAGTATCCAGACTCTCTGCTGGAAAGAGTGGTCAGTGGGAAAATCCTGTGCCCATATGATGCAGATGGCCATTATTTCATAGACAGGGATGGGCTGCTATTCAGGCATGTTCTGAACTTCCTCCGGAACGGAGAACTGCTCCTGCCAGAGGGATTTCAAGAAAACCAACTTCTGGCACAGGAGGCAGAATTCTTTCAGCTTAAAACATTAGCTGATGCAGTCAAGTCCCGGTGGGAGAAGGCGCAGCAGGCGTCCAGAGAGACCACCTTCCTGGAAATCACAGACAGCCACGACCGTGCGCAGGGCCTTCGGATTTTTTGCAACGCTCCCGATTTCATTACAAAAATAAAATCTCGCATCGTTTTGGTGTCCAAAAGCAGGCTGGACGGCTTTCCAGAAGAGTTCTCAATCTCTTCCAACATTATACAATTTAAATACTTTATAAAGTCAGAAAATGGAACACGGCTTGTTTTGAAGGAAGACAACACTTTCGTTTGCACCCTGGAAACGCTTAAGTTTGAAGCAATCATGATGGCATTGAAATGTGGATTCAGACTGCTGACCAGCCTGGATTGTTCCAAGGGGTCAATTGTTCACAGCGACGCTATTCATTTTGTCAAGTAATGATCAAGTAATGACTACTTCTTCGCTCAATGGACAAAAGGCCAGGAGCATGCAGCCTGCCAAACCTCATTAAACCACCCAAAATCACAACCAATTTATCCCGCTCTGCTCTCCACAGAGCACTGCTGCTGAGGAATGAATGTGAGCTAATGGTATGTAAATTGTTACAACCATCTCTGAGTTCATTGTGCCTAAATTTAATAATAAAAAATATATTTACTAAATGTGATGGGAAATCAGACCGAATGTGCCCTTCTCTCCACACGGAATTCTACTGAAAGGTTAGTGTGTTTATGTGTGGCTAACATGCTTTATCTTTTCTCCCATCAGCAATGACAGAAATGCCTTCTTTTTAACCAACATACACAGCACGGATTACCTTTTGGCAAAGACATCCAGAATTTGAGGTGGAATGTATATTTTAAGGCGGGGGGGAATTGAAATCATGCTTAAAATTTGAAACAATGGCATCAGAGGTTTTGGTTATAGATTTTATATCTTGTGGATTTTGAAAATGACATTGTTTCAAGCACAAAATCAGAGAGCGCAAAGCTCAATGCCCTGCTAAAAAGGGCAGAACAACTTAACACAATGCTCCCCCCCACAAAGAGACCATTTCCTCAGAGTTTTTTTTTGGAGGGGAGCTTCAGTACCACAGACAGCTGCCACCCCATTGCTTGTTTTATTATTTCAAAATCACTGTATTGGGAGGTCCATGGCAGCGATGAACCACATTTGCCACAAAATACCGAGTTCTGTCAAGACAATCAAAATGCCATAATGAAACAAATCTTTTCATTTCAGGCAGTCCACCTGCCAGTGTATTTTTTAAAAGAAGGGAACAAGTTTCACTTTCTCTTGCAAAGCTAGCAGGCTTTAGACGATGATGATGATGATGTTGATGAAGAATTGTCACAGTCAGATATTTGTACATGATATTCTGCAATTCGAGATCTAGCCAAGTTCTTCAGAAGCGCAGGTGTATTTTTGTAGAATTCTTGCTGTTCCCAGCAACACTGTCCTCTGGAGCTGAGCTGGTGTTGTCATGATTGTTGTTGTTGTTAGCATTTCTTTCCCTTTCCTGCATGCAACATTTAAGACTTCTCCTCCATCAGCACAAAAACTGAAGTCCTCCTCGCAGCAGGATTGCAAAGTTCCTTTCCCAGTTTCAGATATGGAACTGGAGCTAACAGCACCAACTGTACCCATCTCAGGGGTAACAACAATTCACTGCATCAAGAGGCCATCTTTTTGAGCAGGAAGGGTTGTAGGAAAATGTGGCCAGAGTTGCCCGGCTAACGCATGATGAAAAATTACACACAGACCCGAACACACCTCAGCCACAGAGAGGGCAGGGCCTCAGGAGGGCTGTGGTGACTCCTAGTGAGGCTGATGCCTGTGCTGGATTTGAGGGAGGAAGTCACGTGCAGAGGGGGTGCGCGCCCCAACTCAGAGCTCAGCCCCTTGGTCAGGATCTTTCTCCTGCTGCCAAATGCAGGTTTCAATGAACATGCACTAGCCACGTCTGGACCCTTGCACAAAGACCTTTCAGGTAAATGCACCTCTTTCTGAATCACCACACTAATGAATGTTTCCAAAGAGTCACAGAATCACCTGACTACACTTCGACTTGAAATGCCATGTATTTAAGACCAATAATGTCTCAAGGTGCTAAATAGAATAAGCAAATGAACAGATTCCCAGGCGGATCCAGAAGAGTCCAAGGGACATCTACACACACAGACATTGTGTAGACTAACAAAGTTTGTAGCAGGGTGGGAGCTTTCTTGAGTCACGGCTCACTTCTTCAGATATCAGGTTGGTATCAGATATTTGAAGAAGTGAGCAGTGATTCATGAACGAATTTTGTTAGTCTTCCAGGTGCTCCTGGACTCTTTTCTACTGCTACAGGCCAACCAACACAGCTCGATCTGTCTGCAAGTTAAACGGTCATTGTTGGGGGTGAACACTCCCTTCCTGCTTCCCTCTTCAGCATGGCTTTCCCTTGTCAGTCTTAACCATGATGCCTTTTACCAGGCTTTCAAATTCCTGTAGGGCAGCCATGTTAGTGTGTGGTGCCTCAAGAACTGGTACACTTATTGAAGCATCAGCTTCCACCATCTAGAGCCCACCTGGGAAGATGCACAGAGTTGATTCTGAGTCTGCAGACACACACACACACAGAGATACGAGGACTGGAAGGCCTATAAAAACACACACACCTGTGACTTGTGTATTCAAAAATCAAAATGTATACAAGATATTAAATAGGTGATAGCATTTTACTTAAGCAATTTAACAAATGCAGCACATACGAAATGTGTCACGATTGTTTGTTTAAACCTTTAAATACAACTACCAGTGTCATCCAAAACAGAATTACACCCATCTAAGCTCACTGGTTTTGACTCTGCATAGGATGACACTGTAAACCGATTAATACATGTTAATTCTTCTGCTTGTCACTTAAGTATCTGTGACCTGCCACGATTATCTTGGCTGGTGGCAGGTCTCCCTCGAAGTAGTCAGCTGGCAGGCCTTCCCTAGCTTAGAGGCCATTCAGCCAATCTAAAATGAATGGCTACGCACCAGCAACAACGGAGCACCTAACGGAGACAGACCCCAGCTAGCAAACCCCCAGACGTCAGCTCTGTCCCAGGGGCTAACAACAGGCACGGATGGAACTCCAGTCAGCTGTCATCTTGGAGGTCTCATTTAACTGTCTATGTGGGCAAATAGAAAACAATCTAGAAAATGAAATGTCAGTTTACTGTAATTGGCTTTAGACATATTCCTAATTCTTGCTTCATATGGGCAGCACATTGTATAGATCTAGTCTTTGGTCAGACAGACAGTTGTGTGTGTGTGTGTATGCGCACGCATGCTGCCTTTCCTCTGGGGTTAGAATTCCAACCCCAGTTCCAGGATCAGCACAACAGCCACCATACCCTCCGGGGCTCATTCACCTTCTGGTCCTCCAACACAACCACTCCAGTGGAGCACTTCAACAAGGCAGAAATCCTTTATATTTCTATCTGTGTCTTGGGGATGTGGAATGGTACGGCGCAGCCCGGTTTCGTCAGATCTTGGAAGCTAAGCAGGGTTGGTACTTGGAAGGGAGACCACCAAGGAAGACTCATGTTCAGTTACCATTTAACTTGCTGAACCTTGGCTGACACCCAGGGCTGTCTTGCTCTATGGTCTCATCCGCCACAAGATCTGTCCCCACAAGAATCTCTGCTTCCTGCGCTGCCAGAAACGAGTCTTGTGGAGGCAGAAAACATGGAGGAGGCTGCTGCTGCTGCTGCTCAGAAAGTGTCACATCAACCATTTTCACTCAACACGTTTGCACCTCACCGTCAGTCATAATGAGCGCGTGAGCGGGTTTTGCCATTACTGCAGAGAGTTAAGACAAACGAGGCCTAAAGTTTGGTGATGCTGCTCAGCAGGAGAGGGAGGGTCTCTCTCCAGGGGGCTCTGAGACGTGCACTCAAGTCCAGCTGTCCTATGGCAGACCAACATGGCTACCCCCGGAAACTCTCTCCCAAGATGGGCTCCCTTCCTCAAGAGTCCCATAAAACCCTGTTTCCTGCCAGGAGTAATGGACAAGAATTCCAGTGCTCCTCCTCTCCAGGCCTTGTTCCTGCCCCACTAGCAGGAAAACCGGATGACGTCTGGGGCAAAAGGAACCACATCACTTCTCTAGAACATTTCTATTCCACTTCTCCAAGGGGGAAAAACTGTTTGAGGAAGCTTATGGGCCACAGACAAAACACAATATACCTTAGAAAACAAATTATTAATACTCCACATAAAACCAATAAAGCCACCTAACAGTAAAACCACCAAGTTATTCAGCTAACTTTTTATCTCTGATTTTTATTGCAAATCTATTCTTTTA